GCGTCCCGGGTTTTGTTCGCGGGGCTCCTCAGTTTTGCGCAGCGACGCTTCCGTCCAGCCGGTCTCCCAGGTAGGCGTGTGCATAATTAAGGCTCATCAGCGCAGCCCCGCTCTTTGTTCTGGCGATGAGAGCAAAACTTGGGTAAGGCAGGCTGTTGTCCTCGGTCCGCTGTACGTTGGTGGCTGTTGAGGAGTTTTTCTCAGGTGAACTGATTCTGCTTGGTAATGCTACTCTGTGGTGGTACTGGTTTCAATGTACTTGGAAATAACAACCAAAAAAAATAACAAGTAGCCTTTTTGTCTCATTTAACTAAAGCAAGTCAACTTACTTAGGCCGCTGTAATTGTGACAAATAACTCCCCAGAAATACTTTGAGATTTTTGGCATTGTTTGCACTTAGTTACGAAGGCAGTGCTGCAGTTTTTTCTCTCCGTGACAGCACTTATCTGCTTGTTCTCTGCCCTTTGGAGCAGACTGCTTAATTCTCGTCATACTTGGGGTAACATAGATTGTCGACAAAGCTTCACTTTGGTTAATTTACCACTTGCTATACCTGAGATGAAAATAATTCATTCTGACTATCAGAGTGGAAAGAAGCAAAGCTTATTTTTGCAAGTGATGGCAAAAGTTGAACAAGTTTATAAAAGAAACATTTTCAGAAAATTTCTGAGCTTACTCTGTTGTAGGTGGACCCTTTCAGACATAGTAAAAATTATTTTATGTGGTTTGTCTTCTCAGTATTAGTAGAGCTCAACTGCAGTAGGTCGGATAGTTTATTTGCTTGTCTCAGTGTTTCTTCCATAAGTGGCTTAATCTTAAAATAGAGAATTTTGTCATAACATTAAATACCTGCTTACTAATTCCTGAAAAAATTCTATGGTTTTTTTTTTGTTATTTTTTTTCTTTTTTTGAATTAGCGTAATCTCTACCACAGCAGTTGTATTCTCGAGTGGATTTATTTGGAAACCAAAATGAGTGGTGCATTAAAAAAAACTTAAGAATGCTCAGTGCTGGATTCTCAGGAAAGATAATCTAAAGTCACACAGGAAGGTAGTTATACGGACTATCTTTGAAGATGAGGATTCTGTCTGGATAGTTGAATCAATTCACTTGTAGTTCTGGTCACTTGTTTCAGTTCTCTACTAGCAGAGAGGGTGACTTCCTCTTTCTTTATCCCTCATCTTAGCATCTTACGCACATCCTCAACTTCATTTAATCTGTAAATTAAGCATATACAGCATTCTTGGTAGGAGGAAAACTTGAAATCCGTTACTTCTCTGTGTTTCACAACTTCAAGTGTAGCGTGGGCAGTTGTACAGCTCTTAACTTAGGACTTCTACAGTCAGATTTAAAGAATGGTGTTGGGTAACTGTATTCGTGCACTCACGTCTAAATGCATCTCGGAAGATTTGATTCAGGCGAACGTTACTCATTAGTACTCAGGAACCGTTTTATCTAAGAATGTCACTACAGCCTGCAAGAAAAACCACTGGCTTTTTGGATTAAAATACTACACTTTTCAGACTTCTTTCTTTGTAGGCGATACTTGAAATTTGTGCACAAGGGAGGTTTGTGATCATGAGACTAGATTTTGACTTCTGTAGCTGTCATCAGCAGTTACCACTAAACTTGTTAGGATGCAGTTTAAATAAAGGTGATTGTTTAGTCACCACAGAAAACAGGGGTTTAGTCACGAAGTACTTGAAAGTGTGTGGAGTATAGAATAAGCACAGATGCTTCCTTTGGGCGTGTGGGTTGTTTGTTTGTTGTGTTTTTTTTAACTTAGTGATTTTGGCTGTGATTTCTCAGTGTGGTAGGTAAAAAAGCCAAATGCTTTGCTTTAATGCCAAAGCAGACTTGATCTTAAATTTGAAGACGGGCTATTTAAGATGGATTTTAGGATGTCCATTGTTTCAATGAGGTTTGTGTAGGCAACTAAACATTATGGAGGTTGTAATTGTCATGTTCTTTCTTTGTTTCTTCCCTCCCCGCCACCCTACCCTTTCAGGTTACACACGTTGAACCATGGGAAAAAGGGAGCAGAAAAACAGCAGGCCAGACAGGGATGTGTGGAGGGGTAAGTAGAAGTACGTGCCTTCTTCCATTTTTCTGCCTGGTAAATAAATTTCCCAAGCAAGGCTAAAACTTGTTGTATGTTGGCTTAGTCCCTACCTGTAGAAGTATTTATTACAAAGAGTCAATGTATTCCCCTCGCTTCCAGAGCTGTGGGTGCAAGTAGTGTTACTTCTTCCACGTAGCTCTGTTTGTAGATGTAGATTTTTATCCCACGTTAGTTCTCATTCTTTTGTAGATTTGGGATGTCCTTGTGAATTCCTGTGTTGTCAACTAACTTTTTGTTTGTTTGTTTTAAAAAAAAAATTTTTGAAAGGTGCGTGGTGTTGGAACTGGAGGAATTGTGTCTACTGCCTTTTGTCTGCTCTACAAATTATTTACACTGAAACTCACTCGTAAGCAAGTGATGGGCCTTATAACTCATACAGACTCTCCATATATTAGGGCTCTTGGATTTATGTATATTAGGTAAGTATCAATATAATCAGTTAATGACTAATGTAGTATACAGAAAGCCGTATTAAAATTTTATGTTCTTTTTGTACTTAAAGGTACACACAGCCACCTACAGATCTATGGGACTGGTTTGAATCCTTTCTTGATGATGAAGAGGTATGTCGGCGAGGGTAATAATTTGTTTTCTTTTGTTTCTTTTCATGTTACTACTTTAGGTTTAAGCATTTTTTATAAGGTTTGCTGTAGTTCGAATGTTGCTATGTTATATTCTCGTGATTTTATTAATTAGTGCAGGAAGTGCATCTGAGCTGGGACCTGGGTCGTTTTTCTTGGATTTTAAATACGTAACAGAATTTTCCATCGGTTAGGATGTTACTATGTCAGATATTACAAAGCCATGTGAAACAGGTTTATGAAATTAGAATGCAGGCCGCAGGTTTTTGTGGGTGTAGCTTCTGTGCATTTTTTAGAAAGATTAATTATTTTTAAGCAAGGTGTAGTAAGTCCTAAGAGTTTTACATTTGTATTTTGCATTTATTACTGGGATCAGGCAACTGGTGCTTACACAGCAGAGTAGGAAGGTATAGTAGAACCCAACATTCACCTTGAAAAAATATTACCCCAAAATTTGTGTGGTAATTATTCACATCCTGGAATAACTTCAGAGGAGAAACAAAGAGCCTAATTAACTGCATGATGTGGCATTGTGTCTCGTAACGGTAATGTCTTTGCTAACAAGGCAAAAAAAAGAAACATGAGTTGCCAACTGAAGAAGTTGGGTAAAGAGGCTGCGTTATTATGCAGTCGGATAGGAGAGTGCCTTTCCTAGCGTAGCCCTGATTTACTGTCAGGAGCAACAAGGTAGGAGCTGGTGGGTGAGGTTTCTCGGTCTGTGGAGTCAAATATCCAGTCTGCCGCATCCTGTTGCAGTTTGGTTTTATTGAGCAGGTTTTAAATCCCATCCTAGATTTGGGAATGGTAAAGGAAAGATCAGTTGCCCTCTTCCGTGTCTGTAGGCATCTACTTCAAGAAATTTCCAGTACTGTAGTTGCAAATGATGTCCGCATACTTGTATTAAACCCAGTGTTAATTATACCTGTATCTGACTGCAATGCAGTGTATTTATTTTAAACAGCTTCTTTCATGCTAAGTATCAAAAACACTGTGCAAAGGAAACAGCTGTTACTTCAGGTAAACGTGTTACTGTATGTTTTTAATAAGAATCAAACCAACTTAAAATCTTGATTGCATCGCTGTGATATCCTGCTTCTCCCCCAGGTGGTGCTAGTTAATATGAGCTCTTTGCTGCAATGTGTCCTTGTAACTTAGGAGGAAGATTGGGGTGGTGGCTTCATTTTCAGGGTCCCACAAGCAACTCGATTCCCAGGACTGTCAAAGGATCACAAGTGTGATTCATTGTGCAGGTCTGAACTGGTTCGTTATTCAAAGCGCTGGTTTTTTAGTTCGTACATTTCAGTTCTTGCAGATAACGGGCTATTGGCATATATTTGTTTATTGTTGTTTAAAATCTCCCAATAGTTTTGGAATTAGTGTTTCTTTCCCAGCTGCTTTCAGTAGCTTTGTGTTACCTAGGAAATAACGCTGGGGGCTGCCTGTCTTTTAAGTTTCTTGCTGGTCCTGGTCAAGCTCAATGGGATGAAGCAAATTTTTATATATGAAATTATTTAAACCTACAGGATTTTTTTTTTTTCCCCTCCAGTTCTTAAATATGTGGAAGCAGTTCATCCTCTGTCATGCTGCTGTGAAAAACTTCCAGGATACAGAGTTACTTTTCAAAATGCTTATGTTTATTTTGTTTAACTGTACGTACTCTCCAGGTGCTACGTTTAACTCCTTTTTTTCTTCTTTAGATCTCTGCAGCGATTATATTTGGAAAAACTGTATATCTGAACACTTAAATGTGTGTGAGTGCAAGCAGTTTTACATTTAGATTTTCTCTTCCTGTTTAGATAACAAATCTCACTTTCCTTGTGTGCTTGCACTATAGGTTTGGGACTGACAATAGCTGACTAACATGTCCTGAGCTGTGAGAGGGCATAGCAAGAAGGCCTTCATGCGGTAATGACCCTTTTCAGAGACAATGGTCATCATGGATTATGCGTTTCCAATTATTTGTTCATTTATTTCTTTTTATACATATTTCTAAATTAGGAACCTCACTGCTTCATGGCAGTTGGTTTGCTATTGCTTCCAATTCTGTTAGGATGCCATTCTGTACTAGAGGATTTTCTGTGATCATTTTTAGATAGGCAGTAATGTAGCTCTTAAATGATTTAGGCCACAGGGTTGGGTATGATGATACGCAGTTGTACATTCGCAAAACGGAGTATTAAATGTAGTTTGAGAGGACTTCTCAGCTTTGTGGCATTTAAATAAAGTACGAGATCATACCATATAACCAGCCTGTGTAAGGGGATTTCCCGTTAATCTCTTCCTTGACAGGCCCTTACCATCCAGATGGCTGCAGGATTTGTATGAGCCTGCATGCGTTTATATTAAGGCCCGTTCCCTATCTGTAACGTACTGCCAAATCCAAAGGGCGCAGAGTTTGAAGTTTCCTAAGGAATTGTATTAGAATGAGACAAGTAAACTTTCATAATCATGAGACTTCAAGAGGGCAGTAATGTAGCAGCATTTTTTTTTTTTTTTTTTTTTTGAAAATCAGTCAAAGGTACTTTTGACCATCAGGATATTTTTTGCTTGTATTTTGTAGGACCTGGACGTGAAGGCAGGTGGGGGTTGCGTGATGACCATCGGGGAGATGCTTCGTTCCTTCCTCACTAAGCTTGAATGGTTTTCCACGTTGTTTCCAAGAATTCCTGTGCCAGTCCAGAAAACCATTGACCAGCAAATTAAAAGCAGACCTAGAAAAATCAAGAAGGATGGCAAGGAGGGAATGGAAGAAATAGACCGGCATGTAGAGCGTAGACGTTCAAGGTCATTTACATGTTATTTTGAAAACAAATGTTAAAAGCTCAGTATTGAACTACTTCTCATCAGAAACATGTCATCTTTTCACTGAGATAGCTTTTAAGGCAGCAGGCAGAACAGTTCATGGATGCTGGTAGATTCACATAATCAGATGCTGTTTGCTATTTGAGATTAATCTAGACCATGTACATAAAATATAATTTGGAAAGTAAAGGGGGTCCCTTAATTTTAAAAGGTTGAGTTCATATTCGGTATCTTTTCTTTTCAAAGGTCTCCAAGACGGTCCCTCAGTCCCAGGAGGTCTCCCAGAAGATCCAGAAGCAGAAGTCATCATCGGGAAGGCCACGGATCATCTAGTTTTGATAGAGAACTAGAAAGAGAAAGAGAACGGCAGAGATTAGAACGTGAAGCTAAGGAGAGAGAAAAAGAAAGGCGGAGATCTCGAAGTACTGATCGCACGCTAGAACGGAGGCGAAGCAGAAGCAGGGACAGATACAGAAGCCGTAGTCGAAGCCGTGACAGGAAAGGTGATAGAAGAGACAGGGATAGGGAGCGGGAGAAAGAAAATGAACGGAGCCGGAAAAAAGAAAGAGATTATGATAAGGAAAGAGGTAGTGAGAGGGAAAAAGATCGATCTAGAGAAAGATCGAAAGAAAGGAAAAGTAAGGGCGATATAGAAGAGAGAAGACACAAGGATGACAAAGATGACAAGAAACACCGGGATGACAAGAGGGATTCCAAAAAAGAGAGAAAACATAGTAGGAGTAGAAGCCGGGAAAGAAAGCATAGGAGCAGGAGCCGGAGTAAGAACACGGGTAGGCGCAGCAGAAGCAGGAGCAAAGAGAAATCGAGTAAACATAAAAACGAAAGTAAAGACAAGTCAAATAAACGAAGTAGGAGCAGAAGCAGAGGAAGAACAGATAGCGTTGAGAAGTCTAGGAAACGGGACCAGAGTCCCAGCAAAGAAAAATCTAGAAAGCGTAGCAGAAGCAAAGAACGTGCCCACAAACACGATCACAGTGATAGCAAGGACCATTCGGACAAACACGATCGTCGGAGGAGCCAAAGTACAGAACGAGAGAGCCAAGAAAAGCAACACAAAAGCAAAGATGAGACTGTGTGAACTCTTTCAGAAGTGGATCACATTGAATCCTATAAATGTTTGATTAAATCCTGCTTATTTTTTCTTAAAGTTGAGATTGTGCAGTAGTTGATGAGCACTCTTCTCCAACCTCCCTCTAGGCTGCAGATTGTCATTTCCTCTTTTGGTTAGGGAAGTGCCTTTGTAAACCCATCCGATGCATCGACGGTTTCAAACCATTTTGTTTAGTTTAATTCGTAACGCAGAGATTGTTCTTACATTTTTATTGTTCAGATGTTTCTGAAATGTACAGTCTGTACATATGTCCTGAAAATGTTTTAATTCCTTCGGCATGGTTGCCATGTTGGTTAAATTTGTATGAGGCAATAAACTGCCACTAATTCTACTTTCATTTTGTAGACGTGGAATTATGGGTTGTATCCTGGCGTTAGCATGGCTATGCTTTGCGTAACAGTATGGCTGTTAGGGATGGATCCTGAACATGTATTATAGCCGAGATATTTATGTGCGTACAATGTACATCGAGGGCCGCGGATTTAGAACTTCGTTTATTGTCCACTGTACCTGCTGTTTTTTTCAAAAGCTTTTAAAAATGTATTATGTTGTTGATCGCCACTGGTGTTAAAGCGAGGGTGGACTTTCGAGGAGGTAGTGGTTTCAGTGCAAAGGTTTCGATTATATTGGGGCTTGTTTAGTAATTCTTTAGAAAGGCTACCTCAAGCGGACACTGTAAAGGTTGACAGATGAGTACCGTAGCCATCTATGCATATTATTTGTTTGGAAGAAAAAATCCATGTAAGCTTCCTTTTTAAAAAAAAACAAAAAACAAACAAACCACAATTTATCCATTTTTGGTGTTCTAATGTTTTTAATCAGCAGCTGCACTCTGTCATTTATGATAATCCTAGGCTAATAAAGGCATTTGAGATGGGAAGAGGGAGGTAGGAAGAAGAACTTTATTACGAAGGATTTCAGTTTCAAGCTTCCAAAGCATTTTTATAAGTGTAAACATTTAAAATAAGAATTACCTGATAGTGTCCTTTTTTAAGTCATATTTTCTACAAATAGTAAGGATTGCGGTTTGTGCTGAACATTTCATCTGGCAGATTTTTTTTTTTTTTAAAACAGGTTGTTAGAAGCCAAAACCAAAATGCATTATAGAAAAAAATCATATTAGAGTCCAAGTCTATTTGTTAGATTATTCTGATGACTTGTATACTAAGTGAGGAGAACCATCTGGAATAAATGCTGAATTAATTCCTTTGTATTGGGTGTCAGCTTTTCCCTGCATGTTCATTGCCGGTTGAAGAGTGTTTGGGTTCCTCCACATTTCATTTTAGACTAGGTGACACTTGTATGAATAAGGAATTTTATGTCATAAGTTACCTTATAGGGAAGATGGTTGATTATATTTTTATATGGTTTTAAAGGTGAGCGTGAAACAAAGCTTAGTCATCAACATATTCATTCTGTTACAGTGTAAAACTATAATGCTGAGCTCTCATTTAATATGGAAGGAGAATAATTCTTGGCCGTTTAAGAAATACCCTGGTTAGTAGATTATTAGAACTGTCTCCAGTCTGCCAGGAGACTGCATCGATTCTGTCAAAACAATGAGGAACACTTTAATTTACCTTATTTGCCACTTTTACTGTTTAGTTTTGGCCGCTTGTTTTTAACCTTCAGCCTATGAGTTTCTGCCATGAGTATATTGGGTGGAGAGGCTGCAAGGCCAGTGTCGTCGGGGAAAGTGGATTGCGAATGTCTGGTTGTTCCTTCAGGGCTCCTCCTTCTCTGTCGTTGTTGGGAAATACAGTGAAAGAACTGTTTATTTGCAAGAACAATCAAAATATCTGAGAAAAAATATCATTGACCTGAAAGGGGAGGGAGATTCCTAATTACAGTGAAGATTGTGAACACTTTGATACAGTTTGTGCCAAGACTGGCCTGTGCCAAGACTGGCCTGTGCCAGGACCTTAAAAGTGCAGCAGTGTGAGGACTTCACTTTTATTTTTCAATCTTTTAGATTTGATCCACGTCATGTACTTGAGCTAGTAGTGCAGTATTCACGACCGACCAAAACACATGAAAATGTTTTAAAGACACCCATTTGAAGTTACCATTGGGATTTAGTATCTTGCAGCTCTTGGGTTTGAACAAGGACACTTTAATTCCTTTTTGTCTTTCTGATGCCATTTTATTTCATGTGACCCTCCTTGAAACCAGAAGGAGGAAATCCCCAGAGTTTCAACAAAGCAGCTCTGCTCAGAAACGTGCAGATCAGTGGAGACTCCAGTGCTGCCGCAGTACAGCTGGAGTGGTCTTATGGCTTGGGATTGCTCGCAGAAAATTTCTGCCAATTTTAATTGGAGGTGGTGTGAGTTTTCCCAGGAGGTGTGGTTGCAGAGCTTCTGTCCCACTGCTCTGAAGTACAAAAGTACTATGAACCTGAAGTTCCAACAGTGCACCACATGTCCGTAGCTGCCTAGCTGGGGTAGTCGTTCCTCTTCAAGCCTCACCTATTGTTGAAATTCCCTCCGGCTCCAATGGCAAGTACTTATCTGGGCTAATTCTGCTTTGAGAAATACACCTTTGTTTTCACTTTTAATTTTTTTTCTTTTGAAGATGCTACTGAGTTAGTTGAACGGTATTTCAGATCTAGTAGCAAGCTGGCATTTTATTTTAAGGTAGGGTCAAGGCTTTGGCCCCAGAGATTCACATCTACCTAGTGCCACAGAACTGTGCAGCTGATCAGTGTCAGTCCAAAACGACTTGTGAGTATCTGACTTAAACAATAGGAATGGTATTTTGATTGAAAAAGGTAACCTGAATGGCAGGGCAATTATCTGAGCACGTTGCGTGGTAGTAAGTACACCATGCATAGCCGTGGTTTTTGTACTTCTGGTTATATGTTGAGGAGGAAACGTCAGTGAGCTCCTACTTCTAGTACATACAGCTGAGTATTGCTGTATTGATTCAAAGACAGCATACAAATAGCCAGGATCTCTAAGGGGAACCTGGAAGAATTTGATGACTTCTTGCTTTTATAGATGTTTGAGCCCTTTCTGTGAAGTGCACGTAATTTTACACATGGGAGACATCCCTCAGCTATTAAGGAGGGGCAAACAGCATTTAAATGCCACTCTTGAGGTTTTATAATGTGGTTGTGTATCTCTTTTTTTCATTTTTATTTTTTCTTTTCGCCTAGAATGGATGTGGGAGAACGCTTCTTAAATTTTGGATCAAATCTGAAACCCACTAAGGATAGGTTTTTGCCAGTTTCTTGTTTGGGCAGTGTCCTGGCTTTAGCCTAAGTTTTGAGCTATTCCATGTAACACACAATTACAAATTTGTATTTAAAACAATAAATACAATTTTTTTTGCAAGTGTTCATCTTTGCATAATTGCAACTAATGCATCTTTAGAAGTATTCATTTAATTGAAATTTTTTATTAAGTAAGCATTAATGAAGGCATCTATCATGAAATAACCTATGTGTTTTTAATCACCGAATTTGTTAGTAGAAGTGATTTCACAGATACTCTTCTGAAAGCACTCATTTTACTTAGCATGCTAATACGCTGCCTACCTCTGGGTTTTCCACAGGAATTTTCTTTATTTTTTCAAGGTTTTCTTGACCGCACCTGAATGGCTGCTTTTGTTTGGGGTTTTGTGTTTGGGTTGTTTTTTTTTTAAGGAGTTAAAGTTCACTTTAAATCTCTATTTCAGCCTTTACTATTTCATTGATAACATTATGTCTATAACACATCTACTGATTAATAACTGTCTTGGAAGATCTTTTAAAACTGCTTGACAGGGAAAATTACAGTTCAAGATTACGGAGATCTCTATCAGTGTTCATCTGCATTTTAAAAATTGTCTCATCAATTGAGGCTCGAATTTGATGTCCTGGATTGCACAGATGTCATCTTTCCAGCTTCACAGAAAGAAAGACTGAGAAGAGAATTTAGGAGAATGGTGTTAATAACAACCTCAATGTCCCAGGTAGCTGTAGCAGAACAGCAGCAGAGAGGAGATGATCAGCCTTGGGGTGGGAGGAGAAAAAGTCTGCCGTGACTTCTTGCCATCTGTCTGAGACAAAGGCAGTAAGTAGACGAGAACACCAGTAGTTTGGCTGGAGAACAAGCAATTTTAGCTAGTGGAAAGTAAACAAATGCTGAAGAGTATCTCCATCTGTTTGGATTCTGAAAGATTTTCTGTGGAACTGTAAGATAGTACTAGAAAAGGCCTAATGATGTGAAAGAGCATTTTACTGTAAATGGAGGGTAGGACAAATCAGTCTTGATAGTAGGAGCAGACAAGATGAGGTTTCTGCGGTATATAGGATGGATTTTGACAAACAAGTTATATTTAGGATACACAAGACTGGTGAAGTTCATCCCTCCAGTACCAAAGATTTAAGCAGCAGAAAAATTTTGATGAATGCATCCTAATCTGAATTACAACTCATAACTTACCTCCTTATCCCAACCAGGTTTTTTCATCTAGATGTGTTGCTCTGCGTTGCTCTTTCCTCTTCCTCTATAAATCACTGTAACAGAATTCAGAAACTAAGACAGTTTCAGTTATGGAAAAGAAACTCTCTTGAGAAATGTTTGTTTCAGTGGCTGCTTTTGAAGTTGTTTTACATGGACAAATAAAGCACAAGACTACCTTGTTGAAACCCCAGAAGAAATAAAGTAGCATAGGTTGACATAAGCCACACATGCGTTTTAAAATAAAAACCAGAAGTGCGCTTTAGCTTAATTTGTCATGGGATATGACAAGACTATAAAAGATAAGCCTGCCTTTTATTATGTGCTATCGAGTAAATGATATAGAACACGTGATGGTATACAGGGCACAATATAGGGTAAGATTTTTTTTTTTTAAATTATACAATATGAGGTGGTGAGACAAACCTGCATAATACTGTTGCAAGCCTTGATATCAAATTACATATTATTTGCATTTTATTTGGAGTTACATGATACTAAGATGTTTTACAAACATCATGGATTTGGAATCAGTGTACTGATGGCTCTTACCCATTCCAACAGAGCTTCCAGAACAGGTCACTGCAATGAGAGGCAACAGCAGTATGAATGTTAGGTGTCAGGTTTTAAGCAAGAAAACATTAGTCTATAGAGCATAGTCCATGCTACACAACTGCAGTCCCATCAGATAGCAGTAGTTTTATAATGGATTAAATTTATGCCCTGGGAAAGGAATTCCAAGGAAATTACTACCTCTTTAAACAATTTTTACTTAAAAGGTGCTTAGAAGTGGTTCACAGAAGTTCTTGATTTGTTTCTTAACTCAAAACCAATAATTCTATAAAACAAATAGGAAAAAAAATAGTATGCCCAGTCCCAAAATGCTTCTGTGAAGTTCCTGTCACAGATAGTGCAAGATAGCACCCAGGAAGTTTGCTCTGGAATCAATACTAGAATAGAAATGTTCTATTCTGTGCCACCTTTACTCGCATAACTTCAGATGACGTCTTGACCAACTGGCATGCATGGACAAAAATACATCATTTAAAGAAATTTAAGTTTTACCTGAATATATTTTCTTAGCACAAAATGTAAGCTTCGGCTCCTTATCAGTAACTGGAGATACTACCACTGTGTAGACGTCCCCACATGGTATCTCGGTGATATCACAGTGACTTAAGCCTGGGCTAGGGGTACAGGTGAAATTCCCTTTGGAGCCATGTAAATGTGTACTGTAGTTTATCGTTTCATCAGAAGCTCGCCAGTGTACCCTGATACCGTTATTGCCGAGTCTATAGAGCTTCACTCCAGAAGGGCAGCAAGCACCTAATAAAATAAGAAATGTTAATAAGCAAGTTTTGTGAACAGACAATACATTACAAATTCCTAGAGTGCATTTAAAACCAGATGGTTAGTATCACACTAGATACCAGCTTTTTGATGAGAAATTTGTATTTCTCGGAAAGCCAAAATAATCCTTGAAATGAGCTAGGGAAGAAAATGTTCTGTCAGACTCATTATGCAGCTGGAATTCAGCCACTGTTTTACACATTGGAGTATTGTTGCTCGCTCCTGACTATGGAGGCACCAGGGCTACTCTAGAGTGCCCAGAATCTCTTTGTGGTGTCTAAAATTTAATTGTGCCATAGCAAAATTTAAATTAAACTGTTCTGGAGTAATATTACCAAACTTCTTTATATTGCACTTGATGGCCATTATAAGAACAGGGATTAAATGATATGTGAAAATAATCCCAAGTGCATTTATTTCAAAGAGAAACTGCACGTCTATTAATTATGCACTGAATTTCAGCTGCACTATTTGTATGAGAGAAACGCTTCACCAAGTCAGTTGTACATTGAGTCTTTTACTTCCCAATTGCATTTACAATTTACATACTGGAAGAATATCCTTGGTAGGTGCAACTGGATGTCAAACCCGTTTCACTGATTGCTTTCAGAGACACGGTATAGTTGGTGCTGCACGTGATGCATCCCAGGAGACAGTAGTTTTGAAGAGTGTGGCATTTTGCCTGTCCTCTTGGTGACTCCAGTGTCGTTACATATGTCTGTGCACCCATCCCAGCAGACCAGCTGATATTCGTTACAGACTGTGCCACTTGAGTTAGTATCAGGTCAGTAGGGCAACAAGGAGCTGAAAAAGGACAAAAAAAAATAGAGAAGTTAATTTTGTTTTGTACTTGGCAAATGGAAGGTATTTTAGGGGACTGCAACTAGAATAAGGGGGGTTGCAATGAGATCAAGAGCAAAGGAATGAAGACGTGTGTACTTTTCAGGCAAACCGTAGCATGCTGAAAAATATGTGACTAATCTGGCAAGCTTCTAATAAACAGAATGCCGATATAAGATCAATTTGTGAGTTATAACCCTGGAATTATTATAAGATGATTATTTGCCCAGATAATACTAACTACTAAAATTTTTCATCAGAATATCAGTGCACATCTGTAGTTTAATTAAACTCTGTCTCTACCCCTCCAGTCCACCTCTGTCTCTGTTTAAGGTCTCTTCCTCTACATTGTAAAATGACTGCAGCTAAACTGCCTGTTAAAAATAGATCCTGATGTACATTAATCTCTGAACTGTGCCTGGGGATTATCTGGGTAAGTGGTATAGGACAAAACTCTGCTGGCAAATAATGAGTAGGATGTACTTTAATCTGTTCCTAACACTGGTTATTTGTGGACATGGACATCACCTCATTGCCTCTCCATTAAAAGTCAAAATGCTGACAAGGAAGTTATGCATTACAGTAGTGGAAGGTGTCGTATTTTAGTGAGCTGTGCCAGATGATAATTGGTTGCACTAAGGCTTCTCAGTATGAGGCAAGTGATCCTTCTCACACACACAAAGATACATACACATTTAAGCAGAGGCCGTCTAGTGACAGAGAGTATAATATGCACATGTTGCAATTAAAAGGCCAAAACTACATAAAAGGTCATAGAATTATTTTAATATACTGCTAAATATTTTCCACTGTATACACTTCCCACACACCTGTCTCTAAAGGAACACTGTAGCTTGGTAAACTCTGTCCTGCCGGTGATCTTGCTATAGCACTGACTGAGAAAGCTGATCCACAGGGAAGATTAATTAGGGTACAGGAATTTCCGGAGCTTGCGCAGTGCCGAAGTCCAGCATCTCCTCTGGCAGTGACAACGTATGTAGCTTCTTCATTGTTAGATTGCCAGTGCACACTCATTACAGAGCGAGCCTTCTTCGAGATATTTTTAATTTCAGGACTGCAAGGAGCTGTAATATTTCATATTAACAGTATTTAAACAGATTGTTCATGCATACTATGCAAGTTACATGTGAAAAGTAAATCCCTGTTAGAACTGACAAACTACTTTGAAAAAGTATATGATCCTTAAATGTTCACTCCTCGTGAGAATTTAGAACTTGTGACAGAACTGGTAGCAAAAGGATTCTGCGTACAAAACCAGAGATGGACTGTGAATATGATTTTCAAAAATGGGGAGCTATCAGAAGCTTTCAGTCCAAATTTGGTTTTAGGTCCCTGCTTACCATATATTTTTTTTAAGACTTCCAGTATTTTAATGATTTTTTTTTTAATCAGTTACTGTAACTTATCACTCTAGGAATACTCTTCACACATGAATCGCTGTAGCATCTAATTATTTTTTCTGCTAAAGGAAAAGAGGAACGATCACAATACCTGTCGCCACGTACTTAGATGCACACGACATGTTGCTGCCGCGGGCCTCGCTGAAAGAATAAACGGCGATCCGATAGCGGGTGTTGCACTGCAGAGCGGAGAGGGTGCAAGCAGCGGCGGTGTCATTGCAGAGCAGCGCGCCGCTCCCACCCACGGCCCGCGTTTGGTACATTTCGGCACCACGGACCGGGGCCCAGGTGACCCGCACGGCGTCACCTGACACGAAGGTGGCCCGCAAGTCGCTGGGGCAGCAGGGTGCTGGGAACAGAGAAGGCAGAGAGGGAAATCTGAGTGTGAGTTGAAAACTGGCACAGAACCCGAGAGCCTTGTTTCGTTTATCTGCGTGTCTTGAATCTCCAAAGATGACTGATACTGTGCAAACCACCTCGTTCATTTCAGACTCACTTCTTGAATTAATTCAGGACCCCCGCTTTCAAATCAATAGGGGCCATTCCATTGTACAGGTAAGAGATAGAAATTAGATGTTTCCTTGATTTAAAATCTCAAAACATCTAGAGGTTAAATAATGCTAACAGTGTTCTTCACAGCCTCCCACTGAGCTTGTCATCTTTTCATTTTCTGAATCTTAAAACTCTCTGTGAGGAAGTTTAAGACTTGGGTACACCCTTCCTAAGGTGACAGTAAAAACCACACCAGGACTAGAATTCAAATATTATGCCAGGACGGTGTTATTCATATGGCCTTGCCTGACGATTGCAAATTGTTAAACTGTTTTCATACTGTAAGCATGTTGTTGCACTTGCCTATGCAAGTTAAGTTCAATTGCAATGTGAAGTGGTTCTTTTCTCTGCCATAAGGATAGTTGTCATCTTCCAATAAAAATGTCCAGTCGGCTCTACCATAAACACAGTTAAGGGATCCAAAATGAATTTGCAAAAATATATTGTTACTTACCAGTAGTATAATTGAATACATCACCTGAAGGACTCTGCCCTGCCCTGTTATATGCAAAGACACTAATGAAATAAGTGAAGCCACAGTCTGACTGAAAATGGCATTGAGTACGTGATGTGTTGCAGTGCACTTCCAAGCCATCATCACTCTTCACAAAAACCACGTAATAATGACCAAAATTGGCGCTAGACCATGATACCAACAAGCGGCCAGGTTCCTCCTCTTCAATTAATATATTTACTGGTGCACAAGGAACTGAAAAACAAACACATTCCAAAAAAATAAAGGAAAAGAGAACTGTAATCAGAATATTTTTATTGAAGTTACACTTTTGGACAATAAAAGAAAATCAGAAATATATAGAATTATTTTATTCAGCTTGAACAGTTGTTATGTCTTGGTCAAGGAAACAGCAACTTACCCGCATTTACAGAGGATGCTCCTTGCATTTAGATGAAAAGTGAGTACGATTTTTACAGAACAAAATAGATACTACTGTTATGTTTTACAGAAGAGAGATGTGCTTAAGGAGCCCTTGTGAACAAACACAGTGGCACCAGGCAGTATTTCAAAAGGAACTGGCACAGTTGGTGCTCACAAATAGAGTTTTAGACTACAATTAGAATACGAGCTTGAATAGCAGCTGGCATCCAAAAGCCTTTATATGAAAACCCTTTACCTACTGGTATGAAACTCACTGGCTGTGTCTGAAGAGAGCTGTCCTTTGCTCAGATTTCCTTTCTGATGGCATCCCAAAATGTCACATTAAACTGTGACCTTCATAGCTTTTACTTAGATAACGTTTACTTTCTAATTCAAAAAGTTTAGCTTGCTACTATTAGAATAAATATACATGAAGCTGAAGCAAAGTTGTCTGAGAGGATTACAGCCACAGTTTAAAAGATGTCTCTTGCTTAAGGCTCTCTCATCCTGTTAGATCCATCTCTGAGTTGCTCACGTGGATGATCTCTAACTCATCAATGAGAAGTCAAAATGCAGCAGGTTGCATCAAATAATTAAATAATCTTGTCTCTGTTGTGTAGCACATAGTAACAAAAATGGTTTAGGTTTTACTTGTGTGAGCAGTTCATCCAATAGGTCAGGAAGCAATAACCTCTTGACATGGCAGCAATGTCAACCTTTTGTCCTGACAAAGCTGCTACCTGAGAATGGTCTGTGACTGGTACCTTCAGTCTTGTGGTGCTACTTAACCAAATGTGGTTTTATTGACCTCCATTCTGACTAACAACTAGATTTAGCCTAGAAAAGTTCTCATCCTATGGCCAGCCCTTAATCATAGAATCATAGAAGGTGCTGGGCTGGAAGGGACCTTTAAAGGCCATCTAGTCCAACCCCCTGCAGGTTGCTCAAAGCCCCATCAAGCCTGATCTCTCCTCACAGATTTCTCCCAATCCCTTTGTGACGGACCTGATACATCTGCTATTCCTTGCATTCATTTTACACTCTGAAAATGGACTTTAGAACAGGTACTCCTGGTAAGAGGAAAATGCAGGCTTACTGGTTTGGTCATCATTGCAAGTTATTTGCACGGAAAGCTGAAGAAAGTTTAAGCTATTATTCCCAAAATAGAAATGTATATGGTACAGTTCATGCAGGAAGTTTAGAAGCAGAAATAACTACTTGAGAAGCACTCATGAATTGAAATGGACTAATTTACAGGTGACATTAAAGAAATGTATGTTAAAATTCCGTAAGCTATGTAAGGATCTATGACACGTACTCGTTTTCAAGCTTACTGCATCAGTAGGCTTACTGGATCCAGCATCGTTGTACGCTGTGACAGAGACAGAATATTCAGAGCCGCACTGGAGTGATGGCACCACGCAGGAGGCAGATGATGTGTTACACTTCAGGTTCAGGGGTCCGCTGCTGGCTGTCACACTGTAAGCTAGAGCTCCTTCTGTTGGCATCCAGGAAACAATAGCTCTTAAAGTACCACTATTAAAAGCTACTTGAACATCCGCTGGTGCATTAGGACCTAGGGTTATCAGTTTGGGACACATAAATATAACTCAGCATATGGCCTACAGACATGATCTTCTTCATAACTTGCAAAGTAAATACAATTTCTGTGGCTCAGACCTTACCCTCATAAAGACAATTTTTTACAGAAATAGTTCTAGCTGTACACTGTCACAAGCTTTCTGTTGAAACTCTTTGCCTTATTTGAATATTTGCTTCTCACAGTTAGAAAAATCCTCAAATCAGTCTAAGCTTGTGGAATTTTCACCCAGGCCTGTCTAGGTACAACTTTAGTGGTAGTTAATGGTATCTTTGCCTCAGTAATATTGAAATAGACACATCATCTGAGCTTTCACAAACTCTGAGATGGTTACCCCTTGATTTTCAGATCATGTAATTTTTACAAATTAAATGATCTGAAAATCTACTGAATGTGTCTTCGACAAACATAGCGCAATAACACACATACACAAATACTTCGTGGTGTATATGTACTTATTAATTTATTTTTTTTAATGCTTACTTGGTTTCAGAAAAGAAAATTTCTTACTTGTTCTTTGGTTATATGTGAAATCATCTCCAGGTACCCCGTTGACATTCCAGGCGTATGCCTTGATAGTATAGAGAGTTCCTGGATCTAGATTTGTAAATATCAAGGAGGTGTTGGTGGTGTTCTCCTTCAGCATTCTGCCCAAACCATCCGATCTCATGAGGAACACAGAGAATCCAGCTGCCATATACACAGCTTTCCAGCTCACTGCAATGGAGTCACAACTTGGAGAACTGACAGACAGAACTGGAGCAGCCAGGACTGTTGAGAAAGAACGATTGGGCTTTTGGTTTGTCGGTGATACTGTGTGAAAGGGCCAAACTTGAAATGAATACATAGGAACAACACAAAACTCAGAGAGAAATTCAGCAAATACAAAAAGAAGTGAATGCAGGACTGGCAGAATGAATACGGAAAGTAATTTGGTGCATCCATTATGATAGTACAGAAGTTGTAAAGTGAATATAACTCAAACACAAAATATGAAAGGTTGAGTGTGTAGAAGAATGAAAATCACCAGGAAGATACTGCATTTCCTGTCCTCTAAGTTTTACATTGTCTTGATTATTTTATACTTTTAGTTGTTTCTTCATTTCTATTCCCTCAAGTTATACCTTTTGTTACAATAAAATTTGACTTTCTTAAAATTCAAGTAAAACTTCCTGTTAAACATTTATCTTACAGTACTGGCATAAAGTAAACCATTAATTCTGACTCTTGTCCTGGTCATTAAATCAGATGGCTAGTCGTCAAAAAAGGAAGGGAGAATTTGATCAACACAATTTAAAATACAAGATTATAATAATTCAGTAGTGGTACATGCCTGGGCTATACTGTTTGTTTTCTGTTAAAAAAAAAAGAAAAGAAGGCTTGCAGGA